GACTGATGAATGACCAGGTCATCGTTTTACTAAGGTATCTGTAACTAGGTGCACTGTGACAAGTGATAATATCATGTATTTTAATTTTAGCTGAGACCAGTTGCAAAGTGAATCACATTATGCAAGCTACTGCAGTTGTAATCAGTGACTGTTTAACCCTATGCTCCATTAACAATCAGTTTTATTTGACAACTGGGATGGGCAAGGAACACAGGCAGAGCTCATTTCCCCAGCTCTGGGAGCCCTGGTAGTTGTCACCTGTGACCACGAGCCCATCCCCGGTCAGGGGCCCTGGGTGAGTGAGTGACTAACAAGGAGGAAGTTTCGCAGAAGCAGAAGGATGACACCTGCCTTCAGGCTAAATGACAGCCCAAGGAATCAGTATCTTCTTGCTTAACATACATTTGAGAAAGAACAGTCCACAATATTCTCGGCTTCCTTTTAACTCCAAAACCTGTCAACACCAAGAAACATCCCAAAGAGCTGTCATATTTGACTTAGGCCCGTTCCAGCTAACAAAGTCTGCCAATTTTTGTACTCTCTTGAACTAGCCCGCTTTTTACTTCCATCACTAGAAAAGGAACCTGCATGACATACACTGGATTCTGGTAGTAGTTCAGCAAGAACTAACACTTTCAGTAAAGACCAATTATATAGGTTTTTTATAACAGCATCAACAAAACAGTTAATTTCATTCCGAGATTAGAGAAACTTACTGAATAGCTTGGTGCTGTTTTTTCTTCAGTGTAAAGTTAAACTCTTTAGGTCCTGGAAAACTACTACACAGACTAATAATTCAAGAAAACTGGCAAACTGCTTTTGCTATCTTACTTCAAAATGCTGACAGCAGTGGTATCACTGACTCATGGGGACTTTTTGGCTATCTTCAGGTCAGGCAAGACTGACTATTTTGTAACTGTTTTTTTTTTTAAGCCAGAAGAATTAATTTTTCCTCATCTCCAGAAAGATCAAATAGCAGCAGTCTTGGCATAACAGCTAACTACTGGATAATAAAAAAACTATGATACAGTAGAAAAATAATTAAACCTCGCATGTTTTTACAGTTCTCCAGAATACCAGCCAAGCTAATGAAGAAAAAAAAAGTAGCCCCTGTTATCTTTGAGACCCTTTATCTTTTAGAAAGACCAGCGTCCCTGCCTATAACCCAAACTGGGGATAATCAAGGCAACAGCTTCTGAAATTTCAAGAGCTATTATAAATGTATTGACCAAAACATCAGATCTATTGCAAACGGGACCAGACTTCTGTGTTAAACTTCAAAGCCTTGAACCAATCAGGTTGTCTTCTGTGACAGTATTTTCCCCAATATGCATATGAGAACTACTATGCCTTTACCAAAGAAGCAGCATGAGGAAATTTTGATAGGAAACCAGTAATCGAGCCTACTACAGAATACTTCCACATGGTTTTGAAAACAGCTGACACTTTGTTTTCTGCTCTGAAGACTGATCACCTACTTTTTCAAATGATCCTGGTCCTGAATATGCATTTTTTTACCCCAATCATCTTAAGTCAATCATATTTAAGGAAGAATTTCCTAAGCTCTCTCAAATAGAGTAGGACAAAAAATTTGTCACAGAAAAGACATTCGCATGAGACTATCTGTAAAATCTTCAAAATGGAATTCATATGACAGTACGATATTTATAGAAATATGAACTGTCACCTAAGGTTTAAAGCTGCCGTACACTTTATGTTACGTTCCAGTTGGTGACTCTCAGAGAAACAGCGCTGTCAGTATACAAACACTAACAACACAAATTTCAAGACTCAGAAGAAGCTCTTGGGATGTGAGAAGAGCTCTGTAGATGGGTCTCAGCTCAGAGAAACTTCTGCAGAGTCAAAGAACTGTTCAGTCACCTCTGAAACAAGACTAGCTGTACCTTCAATCCCGTAAGTTTAAGAGACAGAAAAATTTCCCAATCAGCTTCATCACAATGCTAAATTATTTTATAAATACAAAGCTTGTTTTCTGGTTATATTGCCCAGTTACAGGACTGATCGGTGACAACCTGGAAAAGACAAGACAGCAGCATGGTGTGCTGGATCAATATGACACTGTCCACTGAGCAGCCTGCTATGACAGGCCGTCTCTTCTGCCCACAGCACTCTCCTAAACATCAGCTTTGGGGAACACATTAGGATGAGACCTGAACCCTTGCAACACCACCTTCACTGAAGCTCTGGAAGCCGCTGCCAGAAGGAAAAAAGGATTTGAAGATACTCTCTCAGGTACTGGAGAGCCTCCTCTGCATGAACTATCCTTGAGTCAGTGCTGGAGAGGGGCCACTGAAGAGAACAACGCTGGAGAGAGGCTTGGTTTGCTGCCCTTTAACCAATTAAAGTAAAAACTTCCAGACAAATTAGGATGAAAGAATAAAATTAAGGGTAAGACAAAGCAAGAAAAAGCTGAAAAAGACCTTCCTCAACTTATGACTAACCAGTGTGTGCCACTGGTCATGGTTTAGGTGATAAAAACACTTAGGAACCGTTGCAAGAGACACTGCTGCCTGGAGGTGGGTTGTCTGTAGACACTGCTTGGTGCAAGATCATACATAAAATACCATTAGTTAAATTCTGACATGATTCCATTTAACACCTCCGAACTTTCCTGCACATCTCCAGCCTGACAGGTCCTTTTTCGATCATAGGATTTTGCAGACCCAGTACAAGTTTTAACAAACATCCATTTTCTAGGAGCACCTTTCAGGAAAACAAAAAAAAAAAAAAAAAAAAAAGAGCACAGACTTGCAGGGAAGGGAAAAAAACCCAACCTACTTCTGATAACTAAAGATACAGGCACTGAGTTACTCGTGTCCACAATGAGGTATTTAAATCTTTACACATAACATGACTTACACATGGCAACACACTACTTGCTAGGCTTTTAATTCAACTAAAATATTCCAGTATATTTTATCCACTTTTATGTTTAGTCATATAGAAAACTACACTTTGATACACGGAAGTTAGGAAATTGTACATTAACCCGTAGAGGTAATCCAACCCATTAACACAAAATATGGAAACCCATTTAATAAGGTGTACTCTGACATATTAAATCCAAAACTCATTCAACATCTGGATATTTACAGAGCAAAGTTTTGAGAAGCTATAAATCCTTCTGAAGTCCCCAATTACTCGGGAATTATTACAGCTACGGCACACATCTGTGATGGGCTAGTCACAGTTTTTCAATCAAATCTGTCACACAACCCAACAATACACAGTGACCAGGGTGCCAAAACTGCTGCCGAGGTTGGAGGGAAGAGCTGAGAGGGAGGCAAAAGTTGCAGAAAGACTGTAAAGTAATTCTAATGGCTTGTAAACCCTGAGACCTTAACCTCAGCTCCCTTTAAGACACGGAGCAGTGAGAATGTACCTACGTATCATTGTTTGTGTGGCAAAAATTGTATTGCAGAACTGCACAAGTAATAAGTCTAGCACCACGAGCTGATAAGAAAAAACGCAGAACATGATAGGTACAGTCTGAGGGTTTTGAGTTTTTTGAGAGTTGAGGAAGCCACTATCTTCACGAATTTTTCAAAGTAGCTTAAAATGAAAACAGTGACCTGAGGCAGGTGAATTGCTATGAGTCTCAACAAAACCTTACTATCATGAATTTAAGATAATCTGCAACAGACAAAATTGAAGGAAAACAAACAGAGGCAGATAATCGTAAAATCTTATCTTAATCAGTATGGTTGACTTTTAATTACCAGTTGGAAGTTACTACACTACAGACGGAGTGCATCACAGAAGCAGAGCTAGCTCCACACTGAAAGCAAAGTCTACCAAGGCTTTTCTGTAAGATGCTCCATCTGAATTACTGTAGCTATGTCGCATCAAGGACTAGCTCCAGTCTGGAAACAATTTAGCCACACCATGCAGCACAGAAACCAAACTAGTAAGGCGTGCTGTGCTTGAGCTGGCTCCACATAAAGCTTCGGCAACTCTGTGCAGCATTCCCAGAACCAGGAACGTCCAGCAGAGCTGATCCGGATCCAGCACAGCTTGTGAAGCCCATCTGATGGTGGCCCTGCCAAGCCCAAACACCTCCTCCCGGACCTGTCTGCACAAGCTCCAGCGTGAGCGACTCAACTCACCAAGGAGCGCAGATGTGTTTCACTGTCTCCTCGCAAAGCAACCCCGTCCGGGCTGGGCTGCCCTGAGCCGGGGCCACCTACCGCTGCTGGCCCTCTGCACAGCCCCCGAGCCCCGGGCGCGGCCCAGGGCGAGCTCTTCCCGGTTACCTCGCGGCAGCCCCTCCTCCAACCCCGGAGCTAACCTGGGGGACTCAGGGAGTGTCTTTCTGCACCTTTGGGCTGTTTCCCAGCTCTTCCCACACCACCGGCAGCGGCTGACGCCCCAGCACTGCCGGGTGCCCCCCGCCGCGCTGCGGGGCGCAGGGTCTGTAACCCAGCACC